TGAAAGTTATAGAGTTTGCAAATGGCGGTATATATACTGGAATTTTTCAAATTGTTTTTTAGTAATGGTAGCGATCAGCAACTTATAGCGGAACTCCAGAGGGCATTCTGACACTGGGGGGAATGGACATCCCCAGTGACAACAATACAGTGATCAGTGCTAAAAAAAAAAAAGCACTGACACTGTACTAATGGCACTGGGCAGGAAGGGGTGAACATGAGGGGTGACCAAAGGGTTAACTGTGTGCTGGGAGTATTTTAATGGGGGGGGCAGTGTGTTGGTGCACAGCCATCCAGAGCAGTGTGTCCGAGCCGACAGGGAAGAGGACTCAAACAAAGCAGCCCTCCTTCCTATTGGAGATGCTCAGCGTGCCCCCTACCCGGAAATGCAAAATCACATATATATACGTGCTTTTGCGCACCCTGCTATAGGGCAGCAGGGAAGCGGTTAATGAACAGAGCTCTGTATTGTTTACAATCACAGAGCTGTGTTCAGTGCCAATCACCGAGTCCTGGCATTCAATCATCAGCTGGTACCGGGTGATCAGTATGTGCTGTAACGAATCACAACACAGCCAGGCCTGGCAGGCGCATGCACGGATTACGTACTAGGGACGTAAATTGTACGGCCAGCAAGCGGATAAGCTGAGTACAAGCAAAAGAAAAGTGTACACAAACATGGGACAAAACAAAAATACTTCCAAACAGAAAAATCAAATAATAAATTATGCAAAATTGATTTGTGGGTTGCAAGCTTATAGTTTTTTTTTTCACAGGAAGTACACATTTAAATCTGCCATAAAGAGTCAAAATAAGGTTACAGAGAAACCTGGGCCCCTTTTCAAAAGTTAATCTGTTCATGAATGTGTATATTTATGAGTAATTAAAGAATCAGACTTGGGTCTATACACTAATCATTTGTTCTGAAAAAGGATAAACCTGTGATTTCATAAATTGGCAAGGACTTAAAAATCAAATTAATCTATCTATCAATCAAATGTATCACTTGTTTAAAAAAAAGGACATTAATACATTTAAAATAATAGTTAAATTAAAAAATAGATTAATTATGTGATGTTTTCAACTGTTTTGCATAAAATACATATTAGAAATGTTAATCTATTACATGAAAAAAGATATATGCATTGCAAAGTAGAGATAAATACAAAAGACAAGTACTAATTCATTAAATAAAATAAGCTTGTTTAGTTCAGTAAATGATCTACCATAACAAAATTCTTTAGAATTTGGAGATAAAAATTTCTTTACTGATGAGGTTGTGAAAATGGCTGTAGAAGACCTCTACACCAAAGTGTTTTCAGTATTTTTTACTGTCTTTCAAGTATGACAAAGGATATGTGGGGCACGTAGTAGAAGAACCATGTCAGTTGCCCTTTATGCCAGGGTGTAGCTACTCTTTAAAGAATGTGAAATAGTGGAGGTATGGGTAAAAACAAAGGCAGGCACAACAAGCACACAGGTATGAATGTTTCTGAGCATTATGTTCTTTAACCAGATTATGTCAGACAAAATTTTTGCACAATTATTTTACAAGTAGAGGACTTTATCCTCTCTACATTCACAAGCCTATAGATTAAAAGCCAAACCATTTTTAGTCTTAGAATAAGGAAGGGTGTAAACCCCTATTTGGTTATTTATTTTGCTGCCTGTATCGTGCTGGGGAGATCTCTATTCACTTCCTTTCTTGGAGACACAATAGAAAATGAAAGGAAAATGAAGGCAATCTATCCAAAGGAGCAGACGTCATATCCTAAGAGGTTTTTAAAGACATTGTTCACTTTCAAATGTTTTCATTGTTTTAATTGGTTATTAGTGTAGTTATATTCCCTTTGCTGTTTGTTTGCCTTACCTTGTAATGAAGGGCACAGAGGTTGTGACTGCAGTTTCTGGAGACATGGGTGATTGATTCCCCTGTCTTCAGCTAGGCTGTCCCTTTCACCAAAGGGACAAGACAACCTCTTGTTCCAGGTCACACAATGTCCAATGCATCCATTGCCATCTGCTCTGTGTTGTATCACAAACGTAAGAGTGCTAATGTAAAAAAACAAAAAACTTCCAACTACATGAGCTCTCTCTTTGTGAATGCTCTTCCTGCTTGTGTGTGTCAGATCTCACCTGCATCATCACTAGACAGAGGCCTAGAAATTGTGGCATATACACTTCACAAGAAGTGTCAGTTCTAGCGTAGAGAAAAATATCATGCATTAACCTGCACAGTGCCATGTTGCAAGCATGTTTGAAAAAAAACAGAAGCTCCTGATGCAGAAATGTGAAGATTTACTCTACTATAGGCTGTGTAGCAGGCATCAAATGACACCATGAAACTGCATAATCAATGCATATTGTATGCAGGTAAAAACACAAGGTGCAAGTATAAATGTTTAAAGAAATAGATGTTCCCATTTGAATTGTTTCATTCACTCTTTCTCTGGTGGGAACTCTAAAATTAGGGATTTTCTTTCACTTTCTGTCTTGTTGCAATGGTCACGAGGACAAATAGATACATACAGCAATATAAACATGAAAAAGGTTCTAACCATTCCCTACTTTATCCAAACCTTTTTTTAAAAAATGCATATACCTTTTATTGTACCCAAGTTTATCCAGATACAAAGGTCAGTGCCAAGTCACCATTGCTTAAAAAACAGATTTCGAAAACTAGAAAAACCTGAAGGAGGCATGCTTTCACTTTTATGTAAACTGCTCGGAAAATTATTCTCTTTATATGCCCTGTTTGAGAAGACATCAGATGAGTCCTGTCATTCCATAAGATCTGAAGGCTTTGGTTATATTAGTCATGATGCTATCAGGTGGTCTGACATTGAGCTGTACAAAAGAGATGGTCTGCTATCCTCACACATGGGCGCTGAGTTTCTTCGTATAGAATTTAGGTGTTTTTTGGACATGCATTTAAACTGAGAAATGGGGGCAGAGATGCAATTGTTGAGGAGCATTTCTGTCCCCAGCAGGTTGAAACAAATGTGAGGGTTTGTGTTGAACTAGGCTGATTGATAGGGTTTATCATCTCATGTGCACTAATGCTCGTAGTTTCGGCAACAAGCTCTGTGAGCTGACAGCTCTTATGTCTAGGGACAATTTGGACCTTGTTTCAGTTGCAGAGACATGGTTCAAGGATTCAAATGACTGGGAAATAACTATACCAGGGTATACACTATAAAGGAAAGAGTAGGGAAGAGGGGAGGTGGAGTTGCCATATATGTCAAAAATAGCATAAGGCTAACATTAATTCGAAAAACAAATGAGATACTCAAAACCCTATGTCTGCCTTCCAACCAGAGAGGGATCTTCCCTTAGAATTGGTGTAATATACAGACCACCAAGGACCGAATGAAGATTATGATAACTTGTTGATTGACGAGATAACTCAAATGGCAATGAAGGGGGAGGTTTTCATTATGGGTGACAACATGCCTGACATTAACTGGAATTCTCAAACTGCTATTACAAGCAGAAGATGTAATGGAGGCAACTGAATAGGCTTTCTCAAAACAGTTAGTAAAAAGTCCAAGCTGAGATGATCGTATTCTAGGTCTAGTACTGACAAATGGGGATCAACTGTCTAATGTTGAGGTGGGAGAAAATGTGGGTTCTAGTGATCTCCAATGTCTTTGGTTTGATATTAAAATAAGCACTGAAAAATCATACAAAAAACAAAAGTTTTTAGATTTCAAAAAGACACATTTTTCTGAAATTAGTGAATTTCTAAAAAATGAGTTGAAAGGTTGGAGTAAAACGACGAAGTAAACAGTGGGCACTGTTAGTCTACCATCCTGGAGGCAACTAGATATATGTCAGGCAAATTAGTAAAAATAAACAGAAGAAAAATGCCAATATGGTTCACTAAAGAGATAAGTAGGATAGTAAAGGAAAAAAAACAGCATATAGGAGATTCAAGGAAAGAGGTGTAGCTGACAGAGAAGAGTATAAGAATAGACAAAAGGAAGCCAAATACATTATCAGTGCTGCCAAAGCACAGAAAGAGGAGGAAATTGCTAAATATATTAAGAAAGGAGATAAAGCCTTTTTTAGGTACATTCGAGATAAAGATAAAATACGATGGGATCACTAAAATGAGAACTGAGCACAACACTTATGTAAAGGGAGATCTGGATGTACCAAAGCACTTAAACAATTACGTTCAGTCTTCTCAGAGATAAATTACCGTATTTTCCGGCGTATAAGATGAATTTTCAACCCATGAAAATCTTCTGAAAAGTCGGGGGTTGTCTTATACGCCGGTATACGGCGAGCCGGTGTCAGGGCGGCACTTTTTTTTTCGAGGGGCGCGCGGCGCCGCCCCCCCTCCTCCTCCTCCAACGGACACTAAGTACAGGGGTGGGCAGAGGGGCTGCTGTACCTTACCTGGCTCCGGTCCCGGTCCCACGACGATCCAGTCCAGGAAGCGCGGCTGCTCCTTCTTTCAGTTCGGCCGCTCGATGGTCGCGCGGCCGCTCGGCTCCGCCTCCTCACCGGTGATTGGGCGCCAGAACTGGAAAGGCACACAGGTGACCAATCACCGGCGAGGAGGCGGAGCCGAGCGGCCCCGTGAAAATCGAGCGGCCGAACTGAAAGAAGGGGCAGCCGCTCCTCTCCCCCACTGACACCAACGATGGGGCACTATTCCTCCTCCCCACTGACACCAACAATGGGGCAATGTTCCTCCCCCACTAACACCAACGATGGGGCACTATTCCTCCCCCACTGACACCAATGATGGGGCACTATTCTCCCCACTGATACCAATGATGGGGCACCATTCCTCCCCCACTGACACCAACGATGGGGCACTATTCCTCCTCCCCACTGACACCAATGATGGGGCACTATTCCTCCTCCCCACTGACACCAACGATGGGGCACTATTCCTCCTCCCCACTGACACCAACGATGGGGCACTATTCTCCCCACTGATACCAATGATGGGGCACTATTCCTCCCACTGACACCAATGATGGGGTGCTATTCCTCCCACTGACACCAATGACACCCAATGATGGTGTGCTATTCCTCCCACTGACACCAATGATGGGGTGCTATTCCTCCCACTGCACCAATGATGGGACACTATTCCTCCCACTGACACCAATGATGGACACTATTCCTCCCACTGACACGAATGATGGGGCACTATTCCTCCCACTGACACCAATGATGGGGCACTATTCCTCCCACTGACTAATGATGGGGCACTATTCCTCCCACTGACTAATGATGGGGCACTATTCCTCCCACTGACTAATGATGGGGCACTATTTCTTACACACTGGCACTAATGATGGGGCACCATCATTGGTGTCAGTGGGAGGAATAGTGTCCCATCATTGGTATCAGTGGGAGGAATAGTGCCCCATCATTGGTGTCAGTGGATGAAATAGTGCCCCATCATTGGTGTCAGTGGGAGCAGTACTGCCTCATCATTGGTATCAGTGGGAAGAATCCTGCCCCATCATTGGTGTCAGTGGGAGGAATAGCACCCCATCATTGGAATACCATACTGAAATAGCATACCCATATTGAAATGAAATCTGATGTTTTTTCATTTTAATTTGGTGTGTGTTGGAAGAGTGGTAGTCTTATACGGCGAGTAAAGCTCAAACCCTATATTTTAACAGGAAAAGTAGGGGGTCGTCTTATACGCCCAGTCATCTTATACGCCGGAAAATACGGTATACTAACAATAATAAGCTGGGAAATTATATTGGTTCTAGTAATGATGGTTAATTTTTAGGATTCCGGAGACAGAGGTAGCAGAGGAAATGGCTCAATTAAAGATTATTAAAGCAATGCGCCCTGATGGTATTGATCCCAGAGTTCTAAGAGAACTTCTAGTTATAGTTGCTGGACTATTAACTGATCTTTTTAAACAATCTCTTCTAATAGGAGAAGTTCCCCATGACTGGCAGACAGCTAATATTGTACCTATCCACAAGAAGGGCAGCAAGGTAGAAGCTGGCAATTACAGGCCAGTGAGTTTAACATTGGTTGTAGTCAAGGTAATGAAATCCTGAAAAGGAGGATCACTGATCACTTAAAAACACACAACTTGCTGAATCCAAAGCAGCATGGCTTTACCAAGGGCAGATCATGTCAGACTAATCGAAGTGGATTTTTTGACTATATTACCAATGTTTTGGACCAGGGTGGTGCTGTGGATATAGCATATATTGATTTTTAGCAAGGCATTAGATACAGTTCCACATAATGATCTAATACGAATGTTGTATAAACTAGGACTTGGGTGGTTCAGTGGATATGCAGCTGGCTAAAGGATAGATACCAAGGCTCTGTACTAGGTCCTGCTTTATAACTAAAGGTTTGTTGGGTAAGGTATGAAGTTTTGCTGATGACACAAAGGTGTGCAATAGGGTTGATATCCCTGGAGGTGTATGTAACATGGAACATGATTTGGTATTGTTGGAAGATTGGTCAAAAAAGTGGAATTTTCAGTTCAATGTTTCTAAATGTAAAATAATGCACCTAGGGAAAAAGAATCCCTTGAGAGAGTACAGCATTGGGGGTACAGTGTTGGCCAGCACTTCAGAGGAAAAGGATTTGAGGTACTTATTTCAGATGATTACAAAATGAGCAAACAGTGTGGACGAGCAGTGGGAAAAGTGAAGAGAATTCTAGGATGCATCACTAGAGGGGTCACCAGCAGGAGGAAGGAGGTTCTGATTCCCCTATATAGATCTTTAGTTAGACCTCATTTAGAATACTGTGTCCAGTTCTGGAGACCTCATTTACAAAAAGATATTGGTAAGGTTGAACGGGTTCAGAGATGGTAACAAAAATGGTGAAAGGTTTGGGGGATAAAACATATCAAGAGAGACTTCTGGAGCTTAACATGTACAGTCTGGAGGAAAGAAGGGAAAGGGGAGACATGACTGAAACCTTTAAATACATCAAGGAAGTGAATGAGGTTCAGAAGGGCAGTATTTTCAACATGAAACCAAAATCAAGAACACGGGGACATGACCTTAAAACTAACTGGAGGAAAGTTCAAAACTAACCTCAGAAAGTACTATTTTACTGAAAGAGTAGTTGATGCTTGGAATTAACTTCCAGAACAGGTAGTGAGCCAGTCAACAGTAAACATACTTGGGACAAACATAGATCTACAGTATACTCAGACAAAAAAGTTAACAAACCCCCCCCCAGAAAAAAAAAAACAAAAAAACAACCCCCCCCAAAAAAAAAAAAAAAAAACACACATTAAAAAAAAAAGAGGCACTCGGTCTTTTTCTGTTGTCACTTTTCCATGTTTCTATGTTTCTGCTTTAAGGAGGTATATTTGCTACATTCTCAAGCTGTCACTAGCAGCAGTTTTGCCCCTTGTGAATGCTACTTTATAGTAAAAAAACTTAAAGTGGTTCTAAAGACTAAACCTTAAAGAATTCCTTGCATTACGGTGAAAAATTCTTTGGTAGCAGTATGTCTCCTCACTCCCACTTATACTGTACATACCTGAGCCCTCACTCAGTCCAGCACTGTGCCTATTGGCTCTCTCCTCTCACTTACTGCTCTCACAGGCTTTGCTGAGGCAGCGGGAACCATTGGCATTCACCTCTGTCAGTCAAATCCTATGACAACGGAGCAGGGGGCAGGACAGGGCTGAGCCACACTGCCTGTATCTATAAACGCAGGCAGTATAGCTCAGGAGAAAGCCTGCACGAGTACCCCCATAGCAAGCGGCTTGCTATGGGGGAACTCTCCGAAGAGCAGGAGCCAGGAGCGCCATCGGAGGACCCAAGAAGAGGAGGTTCCAGGCTGCTCTGTGCAATGGAATTGCACAGAACAGGTAGCTGTAGACCTATTTGTAAACTATTTTTTAAAAATAATAATCACTTTAACAGCCATTAACCACCATATTCTTATGCATTGTCGTCTGCTTATTGTCAGTGCTCTGTTTCTTCAATACCTTGTGAATTTATAATGAATAATTCTAAATGTATGTACATACATGATCTTTGTTCCTTAGTGCAATGCTTTTGCAATTGATGTTAACACTTTGTGGTAAAATATCATGTCTTTTCATTTCTTCCACAAACCATTCCACTCTGGTAATTATTTGCTGTTGAGTTAGGCCGTCTAAACTCTCAAATCTTTTCAGTGGCTTCCCAGTGAAACCTGGGTAGGACAGAAGAAAAACACACAAGTCTGAGCATTATAATCACACAGGAAATAGAGCACTTCACTGCAAAATAAATCATTGTCAACCATGTATGATACTTTGTGCAATACCAGCTGGATAACAAAGCTTATAAATTTGCGTAGTCATTATTCAAAATACACATTGCATATTATTCTCTAAACACATTTGTTCACATTATTCTTTAATAAAGAATATTTCTCCCAAATGAATAACAAGTGTTTTGTTTTTGTCTTTTTTTTATCCTGAAGCATGAGTACATTTTAAACCTTTCCCACCTTTAACACTAATTCTGGTACCCTGCTCATAAATTATACTCACCTGCTTTATAAGGTTCATAGGCTGAACCAGGCTCAACATATCTGCAGTCAAACTTTGAGGTTGCAAGATGTAAATCAGCTTTGGGGGATACCACTGGATATATATTGCAACAACTACAATTTTGTAAAGTGAATAAGTTGTTAAAATTGTTGTCGTATATAGAAGTGCTGAAAGTTATAACAGAAGCACAGTCAAACACCTTACAGTGCCACTTATTCTGCACTTTGTTCATTTTCGTGTTTGCTATGAATATAGGTTTACTTTAAGAAATGAAAAGCTAGAGATTTGCATTTGTCCCCCAGACACACAGAAACCAGGACAGCATCAAAACCTGGGATAATGTACTAGGTTTTACAGAAGTTTTGGGTGCACATCGGAATCTGACACACATATTCCCATACCTTTAGCAGGACTGAGGGTAGGAATTACTACAGTCTGCACTACTAATGTATCATCTCTACAGATTTATGCATGGAACAGAATATATTGCACACACTACACATTCAGCCACTGCAAAATTCGGGTTCTGGTTATAGTATCTGTGCCCTCCCACATGGAAGAAAAATATATTTGAAATATATTTTAAAAATATTCTTCCCAAATATATTGACATATATATAAAATGCTACAATTTTGGCCATATTCTATATATATATATATATATATATATATATATTATATATATACACATATACATACATAACATACTACATTTCAAATATACTGTATGTCTTTAAAAAATACAAATCTACATTTTTGGAATGCATTTACAAATATATGTAAAAATATATGTTACAATGACTTTTTTATATGTTAAAAAAGATGTGAAGAATATATTTTAAAAAAAATCTTCCGACTGTTTCTATGGAAAAAGCTACCATTTTGAAAGGATACGAAAGAAAAAATAAGCCATGTGATTTATGACACAAGGAGAAAGGAAGGTCTTCACTTCCTTGCTGAATTCCAATCTGAAAGCAAGTCTGCCTCTTATTAGATCTTATTGGCATATGACTTGGTGGGATCCGATAATCTTCCACCAACCAATGAACTCTCAAGGCAACAATAATTTAAATATTTCCAAAGGGCAGCAGTAAATGCTATTGATCTCCCTAGATAACCACAAATTATAATATCCTCCTGCACTTCTTATCAGATCTTAGTGGAAGATCCTAGTAGGATTGGATAGTCCTCTACCAGCCAATTGCTGCATACAGTATACAAGTAGTGTAATACCAGTCAGCTTTATAATATACATTATCTGCCTGCAATAAATTATGATAATCCTCCAACAGGCAGCAGTAAATGATACTTATCTCCCTAGGTAACCACAAATTATAATATCTTCCTTTCCCTCAAGCAGAAAATTACAATAATTCTCTTAGGTAGCAATTAATTTTTAATGTTTTCTTCCAGGCAGCAACAAACTAAAATTAATCTTCCCTCTGGTAACAAAAAAATGTATAAATACTCCCCAGGCAGCAACTAATTATAAAACTCCCCTGAAGGCAGCAATAAATATTAATAATCTCCCTATAATGTATACCCTTCCCCCCATCCTCCTCTTCCCTACTGGCAGTGATAGACTGGACCCCTAGCCAGCTTAGTATAAAGATAACCAGCTACATTTGTCAATTACATAATTCTGTGTAGTATTCCAGGTTCTGGTCACTGACTTGTGTAGGATGATGTGAGCAGTAGAATCTTCTCTCCTTCAGTGGTAATTTTGTTGATGAAAATATCTTCATTATAGTTTTCATCAGTGGCATGTTTTAGTGATGAAAACTGAATGAAAATCAATTTGAATTTTTGTCAACGAATGAAAACTGAACAAAAATGTGAGGGAAGGACATTTATCCACGTGAACTTCCTTGGAACCCTCCCTGTAAAGCCTGCAAACCACGTAGTGAATGTTTCCCCTCCCAGCAAGGTAGCAGTGCTTAGTGACATGCTTACAACCTC